TATCTATCCATGTATCTATCTATCTATTTATCTATGTATCTAATATCTATCCATGTATCTATCTATCTATTTATCTATGTATCTAATATCTATCCATGTATCTATCTATCTATTTATCTATGTATCTAATATCTATCCATGTATCTATCTATCTATTTATCTATGTATCTAATATCTATCCATGTATCTATCTATCTATTTATCTATGTATCTAATATCTATCCATGTATCTATCTATCTATTTATCTATGTATCTAATATCTATCCATGTATCTATCTATCTATTTATCTATGTATCTAATATCTATCCATGTATCTATCTATCTATTTATCTATGTATCTAATATCTATCCATGTATCTATCTATCTATTTATCTATGTATCTAATATCTATCCATGTATCTATCTATCTATTTATCTATGTATCTAATATCTATCCATGTATCTATCTATCTATTTATCTATGTATCTAATATCTATCCATGTATCTATCTATCTATTTATCTATGTATCTAATATCTATCCATGTATCTAATATCTATCCATGTATCTATCCATGTATCTATCCATGTATCTAATATCTATGTATCTAATATCTATCCATGTATCTATCTATCCATGTATCTATGTATCTATTTATCTATGTATCTAATATCTATCCATGTATCTATCCATGTATCTAATATCTATCCATGTATTTATCCATGTATCTAATATCTATCCATGTATCTAATATCTATCCATGTATCTAATATCTATGTATCTAATATCTATCCATGTATCTAATATCTATGTATCTATCCATGTATCTATTATCTATGTATCTAATATCTATGTATCTAATATCTATCCATGTATCTATCATGTATCTATCTATGTATCTAATATCTATCCATGTATCTATCTATCTATTTATCTATGTATCTAATATCTATCCATGTATCTATCTATCTATTTATCTATGTATCTAATATCTATCCATGTATCTATCTATCTATTTATCTATGTATCTAATATCTATCCATGTATCTATCTATCTATTTATCTATGTATCTAATATCTATCCATGTATCTATCTATCTATTTATCTATGTATCTAATATCTATCCATGTATCTATCTATCTATTTATCTATGTATCTAATATCTATCCATGTATCTATCTATCTATTTATCTATGTATCTAATATCTATCCATGTATCTATCTATCTATTTATCTATGTATCTAATATCTATCCATGTATCTATCTATCTATTTATCTATGTATCTAATATCTATCCATGTATCTATCTATCTATTTATCTATGTATCTAATATCTATCCATGTATCTATCTATCTATTTATCTATGTATCTAATATCTATCCATGTATCTATCTATCTATTTATCTATGTATCTAATATCTATCCATGTATCTATCTATCTATTTATCTATGTATCTAATATCTATCCATGTATCTATCTATCTATTTATCTATGTATCTAATATCTATCCATGTATCTATCCATGTATCTAATATCTATCCATGTATCTATCCATGTATCTAATATCCATGTATCTATCCATGTATCTAATATCTATGTATCTAATATCTATCCATGTATCTATCTATCCATGTATCTATGTATCTATTTATCTATGTATCTAATATCTATGTATCTAATATCTATCCATGTATCTATCCATGTATCTAATATCTATCCATGTATTTATCCATGTATCTAATATCTATGTATCTAATATCTATCCATGTATCTAATATCTATGTATCTAATATCTATCCATGTATCTAATATCTATGTATCTAATATCTATCCATGTATCTATCTATCTATTTATCTATGTATCTAATATCTATCCATGTATCTATCTATCTATTTATCTATGTATCTAATATCTATCCATGTATCTATCTATCTATTTATCTATGTATCTAATATCTATCCATGTATCTATCTATCTATTTATCTATGTATCTAATATCTATCCATGTATCTATCTATCTATTTATCTATGTATCTAATATCTATCCATGTATCTATCTATCTATTTATCTATGTATCTAATATCTATCCATGTATCTATCTATCTATTTATCTATGTATCTAATATCTATCCATGTATCTATCTATCTATTTATCTATGTATCTAATATCTATCCATGTATCTATCTATCTATTTATCTATGTATCTAATATCTATCCATGTATCTATCCATGTATCTAATATCTATCCATGTATCTATCCATGTATCTAATATCTATCCATGTATCTATCCATGTATCTAATATCCATGTATCTAATATCTATGTATCTAATATCTATCCATGTATCTATCTATCCATGTATCTATGTATCTATTTATCTATGTATCTAATATCTATGTATCTAATATCTATCCATGTATCTATCCATGTATCTAATATCTATCCATGTATTTATCCATGTATCTAATATCTATGTATCTAATATCTATCCATGTATCTAATATCTATGTATCTAATATCTATCCATGTATCTAATATCTATGTATCTAATATCTATCCATGTATCTATCCATGTATCTAATATCTATGTATTATATATTGAGCAATAATAATAGAGTGTTGTGCTTCGTAATGCTGTTATGAATGTCTTCACATATCATACAGTAGCGTTTAGCACTTCATTCATTACCGTTTCTTTAAGGAAATAGAGCAACCTAAACACCTACTTCGTTAGCGTACATAAAAGTGTTAATGTAAACTCGTTTGCCTACCTTTGAGGCCTTTTAGAGCAGACAGCTCCGGGGTGGATGTCGACGACGACGGGAAGAGTTGCACTGGCAAAGTTTTTATTTGTCGAAGAAGCAGAATCCAATGTTTCGTATCCTTTACGGATATGGACGGCGTCTTCTAACGGTTCCTCGATGGCCTGTTTACGGCCTAGCCGCTGCAACAGAGCGTTGCTGCGTGCAACCTGCTCCGACTGCCAGCTGCCGTACGCGCTCGAATTGAACAGCTGATGGCGTAGGAGTAGATTTAACGACGAATGCAACTCTTCGATCCGGCTCGTCGGGACCTGGGCGACTGTTGTGCCGCAGAGATTGGTGGTTCCGCTGCAGCAACAGCAGGTGGTTGGGTGGCAAATATGCTTCTGCTGTTGTTGGTGGCAAAGGTCTGGCCTCAGGGGTCCCTGTCTTTCAAAAGGGTGCGGCTCCTCGTGCATGGTGCACGAGCGAGGGCATCAGACGGGCCCCGTCAACACCAGCGACAAGGGACTCCAGCGACTCACGGATGTCTTGACACCTGAAACAACACAAACGACAGTTAATCAGCCATCTGTTCTTTGTGCACTGTTTAGCGGCAATACGGAACGTAAAATTTAAAACGTTTCAGTTCATCACGCCTGCAACGCCCTGCAAGCTCGAATGGGAAGGGGGTTGATTAACGACAATAGAGTTCTTTTGTTAGGAACATTTTTCTTTATTGTAAGCCTGTCGTACATACATTTACTCGACTGAACTTGGCTCCGAGTAGAATATTTATGTAACAAACTTCTATGATCAATAAATTTTGAAGTACTTCTAGAAACAGTGTTTTCATTATCTCCAAAGGATTTTTGTCGTGATTATCGTCGTTTTGAAGACCTGCACAATAGCTGAGATTATCTACCTAAGCATGAGGAGCGTCGTGCATACATCTCGCTCAAGTGATTCACTGTCACCGTTTGATTTGCCGGCATCAAAGCTCCATAATGCAAATATTCGAGCTACACTGGCGGAACAACGCTGTTTATGCAAGGTTTTTCATCTCTCACACTCTGAATCAATGTGCATCTCAACTTAATACTAACCTCATGGGGTAGAAATGTCAGTCATAACAAGCACGGGTCTTGAAGGGCCCGTTTATAATGTATCTAACCTCCTGGTAGGTAAAGGGACGTGAAAATAAGGTCGAGGGTGGTCCTCTCTCGTTCAGGATGTTTAGGTCTAGAACCAGGCTAAACACATTTGCTATGTGCATTAAGCATTGGTTGTAGCCGAATGGACATGCTTAGATATCGGTCCCTTTTTTTATAAAAAAAAAAAAAGATATTCTCGTCTTCCAACTAGGCTAGAATGAATTTGTTGAAAAAAAACTTTCCCGACGGCTTAATGATCATTATAACTAGATACTAACATGTTGAGGCTACTAATATCAGCGCAGCACAAATCTGAAATTATCTTATAAAAAAAATGCTGTCTATTTTTAGGAAAAATGATTCTACTGGCGCCCTTGGATTAGCCACCGTTGGCTATGGTCCGGCATATCCAAAGGTATGACTGTACGAGCTGTCTTACCCTCGGCACACCCTTATTAGCTACCCACACGTTTCCCTTGCATTGTATGTGCAATATTAATTTACTGCTTGAACGGGAGTGCCCCATCAGTCGCCACCCTTCGAACTACCTATCTGGTTACTGTCCAGACAAATACCTAATGTTTTCCTTATTTGTCACCCACCAACGACCTTTCGGTACTTAGTAATACTAAGTTTCCGGTGCTTGCAAAAGCCATTCGTCAATATTTATTGCTGCTGTGACATTTATCTAAGACATTTAATTTTTGAGGCCAGGGAGGGGATCAAGGGCTAACGACATTTAAGTCGATAGAGTGGACTTAGGTTGTACGCAAAATAATGTCCTATTATTTTACCTTAGTTTTACTTTCGTGGGACACCTTATCATACCTGCTTGTTTTACCTGGGCTTTAACTAGATATGGGCTAGATAAACTTTATAAGATGTATAACTCAAGTGATTGCCGCATACATTTTTCGATACGCTAGATTAATTTGACTAAAAATTTTATTTAAAGAAAAAAAATCTTAATAATTCGACTAGAGATGCACTCGTAACTCTTATCGGTCATGGCCTTCGGCGCGTCTGATCTTAGATAGCGTGCCATCTGAATCTAAAGACAGGAGGTCGGTAAAGCCATTTCATATTACAAGCGATGACGCTTAATATTATTATTAAGCTTCATTTGTTATGTATATCTATTTTAGATTCATAAACATAGATAACTTTCGGTTGATAACAGACATCCGCTGGTTACAAAATAGCGCAGATAAATAGATGGTTAATTGAAACGAGCTAAGTGAAACTATTTTCGTGATATTTAATTTTTTAATGGGCTTTTATAACAGTTGTTGGGCTTCGAGACGTGTAAAGGCGAGAAGTAAAGGTAGGGATTTTATTGAACAACTCCTTCTTAAAAAATACGACTGTCGTCGAAATGCATATTATTTATGTATTTTTTTTTTCATCAACTGCAATACATGCAGTGTAGTTGATTGCAGATGCTGATGAATACTGAAGGCGTGAAGGGGTCTATTAGACTCCTTCACGCTTGTTTGGGTTCGTTGATGAACATTTCATTGATATCGCCTGTGACAGTGACTGCTGCTCTTAGCCGGTCAACATCGTCTATACGCTATTGTTACTCAAAGTATATTCAGCTAGAAGCTAGTAGCTGCGTTATTACTGGGCCGTCAGTTATTTTTGTCAAATTTTTACAAAATTTATTATCAAAATATTTCGTTTATTAAATGTATATAGGTCATACATTTAAACCAAAGGCGCTCAACAAAGCCGAAGGTATAAACTGAAAATAATTGCACTTAATTCAGCTAATTTTCGTAAGATGTCGAAAGCGCACAGGATCAAATAACTGGGAACTTTTTAATTTTTTGTTTTAACACTCAGTCGATATTTCCTCCTAGAACCCAGTTGCTACGAAAGTCACTAGGCTGTAATGATTGAACGCGCTAAGCTAAAAGCTAATCTGATGTTTAGCAGTTGTACCATTGAACATTTTATACAGTTTTTGTCGGTCGTCAACTTTGCGGGAGTCCCCATCGAATAATAATGGTTCCGTGGACACCATACGTTGTTCATCTTCTTCAAACGTACTCTATTATTGTTTCACGTTTGCTGCTCGAGCCATTAGGTATTACTTCAAATAGACTTCAGCACGAAACAATATCTGTCCGCGCCTAGATTCGAACCTAGACCACGACGCAGAACAACTGCACGATCTCGGAGCACTGTTGCACCTTACGGCTGCCTTTGCCGGTAAAAAAACCCTCACTGAATCAGTGGTATGCGTAGCATTGAACCGCTTATACGTACACATAGTCACGGGCCGATCAAATAACGCCGTCTAGAAGTTTTAAGCACTATCAACTTCGATTGAAGATATGTCCGCGCTCGGAATAACTATCTGGGTTCTTGGTAGTGTTAATGGTAGGCGACGTGACAACGCTGTCACTAGGGGAGTATGCGTTTATGCCGCTTTATATGGAAGGGGAGCCACTTTCTGGGTCCTGATTTTGTTTTCTCCGTTTAATGGAGAGAACAGATGATACGGTAAAGGTATTATCATTACTCGCGTATGATTCGACGAGAACGACATAGGTGATCTTGAAATAAATTTAAGCAGTTTGATTGTTTTGAGATTATACATGAACTTGCAGTAGAACTACGAGCAGGTCCCACGGACAGGTGGTGGACTCCAATAGTCAGACTCAGTCAACAAAAGAAAAAAGTAATTGCGGATCGCTGAAGCGTCAGAGTATCGAAACGAGCAGTTGGCAATCAGGCCCGGAAAGCGAACGATAATGCGTTTTTGTTGTCAAGAAAATAGGGAAAGAGACATCGAGAACGGCGCACCGCTCAGCAAGAAGAAAGTATCACTCTTAGCGATCTATCATAAAGGCTAATTTGTAATAGTTTCTCAAGTGCGCCGCATGATGGCGAAGCGTGGACTCGCCGTATCTATGATAATCTTTTGACGCCGTATCAAAATAAGCGAGTTGAGCTATCGTAAGCCGAAAAGCTAAACTGTGCACAGAAGTTTGCAAACTTTGAATGGGCTAAACAATCCTAAAATTAGATAGTGGAAAATCTGGTAAGGATCTAGTTCCCAGAAGAATTGCACTTTGAAACTTTAGCTAGTAATGCCCAATACGTCTATCTATAGGCGTTCCAGCAAAAGACTCCATGGGTCTTATGGAATCCAGAAGATCAACTATCCAAGCAAAGTAATGGTCTGGACAGCGATTCCTATTTGCCATGCAGATGTCCTACATTTCGTTAATGACGTTATAAGAAAAAGACAATGCAGCAAAGTCAGTCCTACGAGAATGCCGTCCCGTATATGAAAATCACTCCCAGATGAAAACTATGTATTTCTGCATGTTAGGTTAGCACGCCGTGTGGCCTCTGAGGTGTTCACCGCTGAAGTTCGACCACAGCTTGAAAAGTAATTGGTTAGAGTTCCATCGAAAACCTGCGGCATGGCGCCAAAGGACGAGTAAGGACCAAACAGAAAAGTATTCCAAGTGTGCGTTTACAGCAGGGCATGACAAATATGGCACGATGCATGGCAGCCAGAAATGGGAAGATAGCATAGTAGGTGAACCAAGTGCCCTTTCTTTCACAGCAATTAAGTCTGCTCCTCTAGCGGCAGTGACGGTATTATCACTGGAAGTCAGGAAAACCAGTTTAGACAAACAAAATAACACATACAGATACGTAATTATCCTTGATTAAACCTGACAATGCGTGAAATTTTCTGCTGGCTTTATATATATATATATATATATTGAGTTACTGGCCAATCAAATAAGGCCACCTAAAAATTGAGATAACCGTTATTTCCAGTAATTGCTGAAGCCCATAGGTCTTCGTGTACTTGAAGCTCGCGTTCCTTAATTAAGGAGCATGTATATGTCTTTATTCAAGGTTATCCCTTGGTAATAACGTGTTTGTTCGACAAGAGTCCAAGGTTACCCCCTCGATGTTGCCAAGTAACCGCAG